GGGCATGGTGGCGCATGCCTGTAGTCCCAGCTACTCGGGAGGCTGAGGCAGGAGGATCGCTTGAGCCCAGGAGTAGGAGGTTGCTATGAGCTAGGCTGATGCCATGGCACTCTGGCCTGGGCAAGAGAGTGGGACTGTCTCAAAAAAAATAAAAAATAAAAATAAAAATATTGTACAAAATTACCTTGAGGCTATGTGTATAAGGTAGACACGAAACATAAGTGAACTGATGGTTTAAAGTATACAGGAGGAGTGTGTGGGTTATATTGCAAATACTGTGCCACTTTACATAAGGGACCTGAGCATCCTCAGATTTTAGTATCCAGGGGGTCCTGGAACCAATTCCCTGAGGATGCTGAGGGAGGAAACGTGCTGACTTTAGGAGTAAATTTTGAAACTAAAAATTTCAAGGTTGATTTGCATTTTGTTTTACTTATGTTCCTATGCCAAGGCCAAAGTTTATGATAGGAAGAGAAACTTATTTATAGGCTCGTAAAAGCATCAACACACTTAGTGTGAGGGCTTAACAGAGATAAAAAGTGCCTTTCGGGCCTGGAGGGTGAACTTTAATCCTTATTGAGGACACCAACCTCCTCCTGCTCCTGTTAATGGATATGTGGGCAATGCTCCCACAGGCAGCCTGCTTACTCCTTCAACTATAGATGACTGCTCTGTTCTAGCCACTTTCCAACACTCTCTTCAGAGCGGGGAAAATGCTGTCACTTCTCATACCTCTAGTGCTTGGTACCTGCTGTGCTCATTGACTGGAACACCTTTCTCTTCTTTAATTGCCTGGTGAATTTCCATTCATTTTTACATCATAGCCTCAGCTTTACCACCTCTGTAGAGGCTTTTCTTTCTTTTTCCAGGCAGACTGCAGGACTTTTTGTTCACTCCCACTGCCCCTTCTCCATACCTTCAGTAGAGTACTTATCCCACCACACAGTAACTATTTTCATGTCTCTCTGCTCCTACAATTGTACGCTCCTTAAGGAAAGGACTATCTTATCCATCATTGTATACAACCATCCCCTAGGGCGCAGTACAGTTTCTAGACACACAGCAGGTGCTCATAAATATGAGTTGGAAGGATGCATAAACTGGATATAGCAGAAAATAGGGAAAAGCGAGGGACAGGTTTAGTGGTTGGCAGCCAAAAAGAACTGTAACATTCCCAACTTTCCCTTCTCTGGGCAACAATTCCAGTTCTCTGGAATTAGCATCTACTGTAAAGAATGTCTTCTCCCTAAGAATAATGAGATTAGTATGATAATGTAGATTTGCTACCTAAATTATGCTTTCATAAATATGCGTACACACTGTGTGTTGTCATACACTAACAAGACAATTTATTTAGTAAAGAGATTAAGAGTGTTGTCTGTGGGATCAGATTGTGGGGATGCAAATTCTACCTCTGTCACTTAACTGTGAGATCCTGAGTGAGTTACTCCCTCATAGCCTTAGGTTCCTCCTGTATAAAATAGGGACAATCATAGTACCTGTCTCATAAAGTTCTTGTTACCACTGCATGAGATAAAGTATGTAAAACACTCAAATCAGTATCTGGCACACCATTAAATGTTATTACTATTGTAATATACTAAAAAAGTTCATACAAGGTATCATATGCTTTACACATATATGTGTGTGGGCTTATGCACTTTCACATAAACCAGTGATTCTCAACAGGGAGTGACTTCGACCTCAAGGGGGCATTTGGAAGGCTGGAGACATTTTTGGTTGTCACCACTGGGGAAGAGGAGCTACTAAGGTCTAGTGGGTCAGGCCAGGGATGCTTCCAAACATTCTACAATGCTGAGGATGCTGTCCCCTCCAAAGAATTAACAGGACCCAAAATGTCAATAGTGCAAGATATACTGAAACGTATGTTATAGGGTATAGTCACAAGCTCTATATACCCATATATCATGTGGTCATGTTATACATATATAGTCAATATACCCACACATATCCAGGATGTACCACATGCTTACGTATGTGTACTTACACATGTATCATTATAACATACACCTAGAATAGCAACCTGTCACGTATATTCGATATATGCACTGATTGTGGCTGTCAATACCCATATGCTAAAGTCAGTCTGATATACTGGGAAGAATGCTGAACCCCAGAAAAGCTAATGTTCTCTCAATATTCATCATTTCATTTCATCCTTACAATCCTATGAGGGTATTATATTATCCCAACTTTATGCAATGACTAGCTCAAGATCGCACAACTGGTGATGAAGGTCCACTCCGCAATATGGACAGGAACTGTGTTTATGTTAATCACCAGTGTATCTCAAGCATCCCAACAAGGCCTCAGTAAACATCTGTGAAGTGATGGGTGGGGAGCTTGACCCAGATCTATCTATCTGCAGCACTGTGCTCTTAACCAGCCCATCGCTGCCTTAATAGAGTCAGAAACGCTGCAATGGAGTCTGCAATCCCCATGGGCCCTGAGAAGCAAGTTCACCAAGCTGAGCCTCAGCCTATCTATTTGTAAAGTGGGGCTGAAATAAATCAACCCTTCTTAAGGTTAGAGCGAGGGGTTAAACGCTATGAAAGAGGCAAAAGCTCCACACATCACAGGTTCCTCGGGCAATTCGGAGACCTCGCGGAGACAGGGACCCCACGCCAGCAGCCGAGATGGCCTAAAGACGGGGCCTCTCCGGGAGGCAGATGTTAACTCGGGCCTGGGCGAAAACCCACCGCACGGCCTAAGGAGGGGGGCGCCCAGCACCAGCAACCTCAACGATGTCTTTGCTTCCTGACCTCTTCGAGATCCCACCCGGAAGACCGCAGGATCTCCTCCGCGCCGCGCCGCCCAATCGGAGCGCGCTCGCGCGCGCATGCGTGACCCCGCGGGTCAGCGACGGCGGCCGGGAGGCGGAAGCAGAGGTTGTTGTGGCTGTGAGGGCTGCGCGAGGTGCGGCTGCTGCTGCTGCTGAGGCGGCGGCGGCGCTGAGGCGGTGGCGGCGCTGCCAGCTCCGGGCCGCTCGGCCTCTCGGCTCGCCTCCCAGCCTCGCCTGAGCCCGCCGGAGCCCGCGCCGGCCAGCGCTTGCCCTATGAGTGTGTCACTGGTTGTCATCCGACTGGAGCTCGCGGAACACTCGCCCATCCCCGCCGGCTTCGGCTTCAGCGCCGCCGGTGAGTCCCGCGGCCTCGCCGCCTTCCCCACAGTCGGGTCTGGGCCTGGGGGGGCTCGCCCTCCCGAAGTACGGGTCCAGGGAGAGGCCGCGGCGAGGGCTTTTGCCTTAGGAAGAAGCCGAGAGGTGGTTGGGATCCCTCTCTCCCCGTCCGTTCTTGAGAGGCCTTCCCAGATGTCATCTCTCGGAAGCCCTTCCCCGTCCCTCCCTCCCTGTGCCTTCCCGCAGGCGTTGTTTCTACCTGGCGCGTGTCGCTCTCCGCCCTGCTTGAGTCGAGCTGTGTGTGTATCTCGCTTGATTTCCTCTAGACTCCGTGAAGGCAAGCACTGGGTCCCCAGCGACGCTGACAGTCCCTGGTTTAATGAAATTGTTCCTCTTTGGAAGGCTGTCCCTTTAGGCGCCCCGTAACAGTAGTAATAACTAAAATTTGGACACTTGCTATAGCCCAGCACTGTACTAAACACCTCGTGCCTTCTTTAACTATGTTTGCAACTATCCTGTGAGATAGATGGGTGTTGCGCACCTTTTACAAATTGCGAAACAGGGTTAGTGATTAAATGATTTACTCAAGGTTATCTGTAATTGGTAAAACTGGGATTCTGACTTAGGGAGCTGGACTTGAGTGTGAGCTCTTCACGCAGCTCCTCAGTGAGGAACACAGCTATAACTCTGTTCCTTGGTCCTCAAATAGTTACCGAATAACAACATTCATTCAAGAAATATTTATTTAATGTTCTCTATCTGCTGGAGTTTTTGTTATATGTGGAATCAGTTGTGGTGTCTGCTTTAATAGCACCAGCAGTTCAGTGAGGGAGACATAAATTAAGTGCAGAATAAACAGAATTACAACTGCGATAAGTGCTGTGAAGGAAAGGAGGAGCAGGTTGAAAAACTATGACAAGAAGATCTGTTGGTTCGAAGAGCAGGACCAAGGCAGGTAGGGATAGTGTCACTGGAAATTTCCCTGAGTACATGAACTTTGGAGCTGCACATTAAAGACTGAATATGTTTTAATGGGTTATGAGCACCTTTCAAAAGCTAAAAGTGACTTCTGAGTTTTGAAAGTCAGATTGACATTAGCCACATATAGATCTACATGGGTTACTCACTGAGTCCATTTATTCATTAATACGTATATAGAGAGCTTCCTTCTGGGTGTTAGGCACTGTGATATTACTGCTGGGAATAAGTGACGGACAAAACAGGTGTGGTTCCTTCCCTGACAGAATTTATGTTAAGGATATTTCAGTCAAGTCTCCAAATTCTTTTTCCCTTTTTATGTGTTTCATTGATTTAGGACACTAATCACAAATTTTCATGGCTTGAGAGTAACCCCGAATGTTTAAGACTACCCCTGAAGGTTTTTTGAAATTTTGTTTATTAATGGACTTGATACCTTCATTTTGGGCTCAACACAGTTACACTTTATCAGATGTTAATAAAATGTTAGTTCATCTGGGCATAATCACAGTCGAACTTTCTCTAAGGCTATTACTCTTGTTGATTCGCTTTAAAGTGCACGATTCCAGCCCGGCGCGGTGGCTCACGCCTGTAATCCTAGCACTCTGGGAGGCCGAGGTGGGCCGATTGTTTGAGCTCAGGTGTTCAAGACTGAGCAAGAGCGAGACCCCGCCTCTACTAAAATTAGAAAGAAATTAACTGGCCCACTAAAAACATATAGAAAAAATTAGCCGGATACGGTGGCGCATGCCTATAGTCCCAGCTACTCGAGAGGCTGAGGCAGAAGGATCACTTGAGCCCAGGAGTTTGAGGTTGCTGTGAGCTAGGCTGACGCCACGGCACTCACTCTAGCCCGGGCAAAAGAGTGAAACTCTGTCTCAAAAAAAAAAAAAAATAAAGTGCATGATTCCACCAGAACAGCCCTGCATTTCTGATTTTATTGTACTGGCTGCTTATTGACTGTTTACTGGATACTGTAGGCGTCCCAGAGGTGAGTGAGATGGATACTGCAAAGGTTTCTTATCATCTTGCGGGAAGGCAGCAGAGAGAAAAAGGGAAACCTATCGATGGATACATTGAAAATGGAGAAGAGTTTGTTTTATCATCAGGTATTAATCATTCATGTGTTCTTTAGCCGGGGAAATGTCTGATGAGGAGATCAAAAGGAAGACACTAGCTTCAGCGGTTGCCTGTTTAGAAGGGAAGTCACCAGGGGAGAAAGCAGCAATTATCCATCAGCATCTTGGCCGTCGAGAAATGACAGATGTGATCATTGAGACCATGAAGTCCAACCCAGGTATGCTTTCTAAAATCATGGGCTCTTTTGTAATGTGAGCTCCTGGCTGTTTGTTTTATGCGTATTGTTTGAGGAGCCTATGATTTTGACCTCTAGCGTACTTTTCTCTTTCACTGCTTGTGTGTTGTACATGAGGTTGTTAAGGCACGTTTCAGTGCCTCCAAATATTTTTTCCAAATCAATCCTAACAAACTGGGTTGACAACTCTATTTGGTGAAGGAGGGCTTCTTACCAGCTAATTCAGTGGCAAATCCGAGTGTGTTCAGATAAACATGTGCTGTCTCCTGCTTCTCTCAGCTCATTTTACCTGAGGAAGTGGTAAGTGCTACATCTCCAGCATGGAGATAGTCAGAACTGGTAGGTTTGGTTTTCACACTTTATAGTCCTGAATGGGCTGGGTGAGTTGACTCATGCCTGTAATCCTAGCACTCTGGAAGGCCCAAGCAGGAAGATTGCTTGAGGTCAGGAGTTCAAGACCAGCCTGAGCAAGAGCAAGACCCCATCTCTAATAAAAAAGAGAAAAACAATTAGCTGGGCAACTAAAAATAGAAAAAAGTAGCTGGGTGTGATGGCATGTGCCTGTAGTCCCAGCTACTTGGGAGGCTGAGGCAGGAGGATCACTTGAGCCCAGGAGTTTGAGGTTGCTCTGAGCTAGGTTGATGCCACGGCACTCTAGCCCAGCAACAGAGCGAGACTCTGTCTCAAAAAAAAAAAAACAGTCCTGAATGTTTGTCCCACTTAGGCTTGCATGATGGAAGACACCAGCTTGTATTATAGTACTACCCAACGTAAGAGTCATCCTTGAGTTTCTGAGGGCAATAATGAGATTTTTTTTTCCTTTTTTTCGATAATGAGATTTTTATGGGGCAAAGAGAGCTTTAAAGTTGAGGTGCTCCTGTAAATAAGTTGTTCTACAAATACAGTTCTTAATACAACACATTGCAATTTCTCTGTCAAAGTTTATTCTTCTGACTTGAAGTTTTAATCTAGTTTAGACTCTTTTGGCATATTTCCTATCCATTTATAATCTGCTGATTTTCGATTTGTGAAAGATGAACCAAAAGCTGCAGTGGAAGAAAGGAAATCTTTAGAAGCATCCCCCACTGCACAGAGAAGTAGAGATCAAAGTAAAGAACGCATAAATGCTGCTCCCGATTCTCCATCCAAACAGCTTCCAGACCAGATTTCATTCTTCAGTGGAAATCCATCAGTTGAAATAGTTCATGGTATTATGCATCTGTACAAGACAAAGTAAGAAAAACCTTTTTCCTTTTGGGTTGATCTATTTTTTGCCTTAGAGTAAACTCTCTTGCCCTGAAGGGAAGTGGATGTTTTCAACTTCAAACACATAGTACTTTCGTGTATTGTGTGTTAGAGAATTATTAGATGTTTTACATTTGGTTAATCTTATGGTGTGGGTCAAAGTTTTTCCTTATAAAAGAAACTTGTGTAGATACACTTAAGAAAATACCTGGGAAGATATTCCCTTAGCTGGTAGGTAGGGAAGGTTACTGGGAAATTGAAAGAAGGGATGGTAAAAAAAAGAAAAGAAAATGATCCACACCATCATTGTAGTTTCATGTGTCCATCAAATCTTTATTAAAGAAGCTGATAAAAAGTCAGTTAAGTAATTACAATTTTATCACTTCTTTTTACCCTTTTCTGTGGTCAGAACAGCTTGCTAGAGGCCCAAGGAAAAGAAGCATTTGATCATCCACAAGCTGCACCATTAGCTCCTTGGATGATTTGTAGTTGATATCTTAAAGGCTGTCCTTGTCCTGACTCAGTCTGCCAGGTCCCTACTGGGAAAACAACAAATAGGTAGCCATTTTGGATCATAGCTGTCAAGCAAGTTTACAGCATTTCAAAAGCAAATTGCATTGTGGGAGGTTTTTCTTTCCCCTCTATTCCAGCTGTTCCAACCCACCAACACTTTTCTGTAATCTTCAGTCGTATCCTCACGGTTTAGAATTCTCTCTTATATTTAGAGCTCTTTTTTTTCGCCAGACCCTTTGAAAAAAGTCTATAGCTACAGTTGTGCTTCTAAATTACCCAGTGACAGATCGTTATTCAAACGCTAATGAGAATAAAACACAAACTGCAAGTCTGCCTAATGCAGATTTATAACCCTAACAAAAGGGTTTATTTTTAACTGAAGATTAAAATTTTGGTGGAGGGTGTAATGTGGAACATTTTCAAGCTTGCCTTAAACTCCACTGCAGAGATAATTTAAGAGCTTCTGCATTGTTTAAATTGATTTGTGGAATAGTACAAGTTTTAATTTTTCCTATTTTCTTGGACATAAAAGTTGTCTAATTAGTGTTGTTTGAACTAACCATACCTCATCTATTCAAGACAGTCTAATTATTGTCTTATTAGTAAGATGACCTCCTTAAAAGAAGATGTGAGGCGCAGTGCCATGCTGTGTATTCTCACAGTCCCTGCTACAATGACCAGTCATGACCTTATGAAGTTTGTCGCCCCATTTAATGAAGTAATTGAACAAATGAAAATCATCAGAGACTCTACTCCAAATCAATATATGGTGCTGATAAAGTTTAGTGCACAGGTAAAAGTTAAGATATTAAAAATCTCTTTGCCACAGAAACTGTTTTTGAAACTGTATGACATTAGCTGTGTGTGATTTACAACGTTTTTATATCTCTTCTAGGGTATTGTAATTCTAGATGTATTTCTAAATTCATTACCAGAAATGAAATTATTAATTCATGCCCATGATTTTTTCTAGATCAGATTGGGTATGAAATCTAGGGTTCTGTTTGTTTCTTTATCCAGTAGTAACTGTTCCAGAAAAGCAGTTTGAAGTTGACACCATCTTATTATTTGCCATTATCCCGACTTTCACTCTCTTTTTTTTTTTTTTGAGACAGAGTCTCACTATGTTGCCCGGGCTAGAGTGCCGTGGCGTCAGCCTAGCTCATAGCAACCTCAAACTCCTGGGCTCAAGCGATCCTTCTGCCTCAGCCTCCCGAGTAGCTGGGACTACAGGCATGCGCCACCATGCCCGGCTAATTTTTTTTTTCTATATATTTTTAGTTGTCTAATTAATTTCTTTCTATTTTTAGTAGAGACGGGGTCTCGCTCTTGCTCAGGCCGGTTTCGAACTCCTGAGCTCAAACAGTCCGCCCGCCTCGGCCTCCCAGAGAGCTAGGATTACAGGC